AAAAAGGTATTAAAGTAAAGAGAAAATAAAGAGAAAGTAACTAAGCTGATGTCCTGTCCGTTCGTTCACCATACAATTACGCTACAGTAAATTAAAACTACATTAAAACCTTTCTAAATATTTTTTGCCCCCCCCCCCTGGAAAGTTAATCGATTTTTTTTGCCCCCCCCCCCTTTAGAAAGTATTTTGCCGGCGCCCATGAAGAGAAGTCAAAAGTTGGCCTCTCTTTGCCTGTAGATTCTGTATGTCGCAAATGACTAGGGCGGTTTGTTTGCGATCGTTTAGCAGGTATGGAACAAGGACAATGTTCGAGTCTCATTTGCATTCAATATAAATGATATTAATAGAGAAGGCATACGATATTTTGATAAAAAGGTGAATGTAAAGTGAGTAACAATAATAATATCGCTGCGTGCACGTATTTTCAAAATTTTTTACATCTATCTTGCATCACAATTCATGTTGAAATAGCATGTTCAACAGCACCGACAATGCTTAAGAAATTACAACCTGCTCCTCGACAAAAAAGGATTCGACTAATGCTAGTAGCTGCCAGAAGACAGAAAAACCTTATGGCAATAAGTATTCCCCAATCTGCCAATACTTGTATTTTAAGTGCTGAATGTTTAGATGATGATGATGTTGACTTGTCTGGTATATCAGTTCCGCAAGATGAAAATGATAAATCAGCTACTATGACCAATAGTCACGATAATGCAACACCTTTAATAACCTTTTCATTGATTCTGCATTATACAATTTTAGTGTAAAAACGTATTAACTTGATTAACAAGCTAAAGATGCAAAAAAATAATTTTCCTACAATTTTGTGCTTTTAAAATAGATCAGCACGAAGTAAAATGTATTTATTTATTTATATTTATTTCATTTTTTTTTTTTTTGGCGGGAGCCAGTTATGAAAAACTCTTTTTTCCAAGAATTAAAGAGTAAAATTATTTTAAGTGATTTCGCGACAATTTCAAAACTCGCCGAGTCTTTATTAATGTGCAATTTCATAGACTGTGAACCCTTGTGTGCCCTAGAAGAATGATGTTGAGTTGTTTTTGTGTGTGTCCCCCCCCTTGTCATACATGAAGATCAAGTACTCAATGACCCCCATTTAACAAAAGTTTTCTGCATACTCTCTACGCCAATCTTTTGTTAATTACTTCATGTGGCCTAAGGGCATGTAACCTTGTCCCAGAACTCTATGATCCGGAATTTATGACTGGTTTATGACAACACATTACGGATGCAGTGGCAAAGGTGTAGACCAGTGCTAACAACAACAAAACAAAAAAAGAACACACATAAAAAAAAGTTTTTAATTTAATTTTATTCAAGTCCTTATTACTCCAAATATTTCAATTTGTACCACTTTTGAGGTTCTTACCCTTACACCGGTGAGTTAAACTGACCCATACACGGGGAAAGGGTCAAACTGGCCCGCACACAGTGGGTTAAAATGGCCCGTGCGCAGGGGGCGAAACTGACCCGTAATTCGGGGTTAATTGTAAACTGACCCATACAAGAGGGGTTAAACTGACCTATACATCAGGGGGTCAAACAGACCACACAAAAAAATACATGTGGCCACAAACGTAAAGTGTGGTGTAATAACGAACTTTATGACGACACAACATATCACGTACAAATTTTTCATTTATATTTTGGATGCACATTTGAAACGGAAGTTGGATTAATTTGTTTTTAATGAAAGCGCAAATAAAAGAAATTTTTAATGTTTAGACTAGTGAGATCAACAGCCCTTTCAAATTATTTCCGGAAATCGTTTAACTTTTTCATCGGATCATCTCAATGAAATATATAAATTTAGCTTGAAACGTTTCTTTCTGTAGATGAAAATGGGGATGGGGAGTAGAACTCATGGGAACTGAAGTGTCCCGACGGAAAGAATCAGGGGTCTGTGAGGGGTGGGCATCTATGGTTCTGTACCTCCGTGGTTTTCCACGGGTAATCTCTAGTATGGTTAAATTCATTGATTAAGCATATTCCAATCACTTTTTATTTCGTCATGTTCTCATTATTCTGTAAGTAAACGTTTATCAATGAGGTGAAATAAATAGATTCCCCACCCATTCCTAGCTTTGGATTTTAGCATTTGGGAATGTTACCTACCATTATAAGGTTCAACAAATTTTATTGTTTTAAGACTTGGCTCGCTGGATAAACTGCAAGTAACGAAAGTAACAAAGGACTGAAAACCAATATACAAAGAAAAATGATGCCAAAGCTAATGCTATTAACAATAATCAAACTTATGTAAACTTACAATCTTGATACAAAAAAAAAAAAAGAAAAGAAATAAAACCTATTTATACTTACAACTTACACAACTTACAGCAATACGTATAATAAGAGAAATATAAAATTGTTAATCCACACGCAAAAAGGGAGCAACTTGTAAGTATAGCGAGCTCTTGTATCTCGTGTACCTCTATCGGTCACAGTCGACCGTCTTATTTACAGTCAGGGAATCAGAATTATATTGAGTAAATTTATCGTTGTGATTGTTATACCTCAATTTTTTTTCAATTAAGAATAAAGAAGGAAATGTGTTAACCAAAGACGGTTAATGAAAAACACTGCAATCTTTCTGTTTACAAATTATTCAAACGTTGTTTTAAAATTGTCAACACAAAGCACATGGTAGTTTAGTCCCAAGATTTGCAACTAGTGTTTGTGTCACCTTTATATATATTAATATTGAAAAAA